GTATAGGAAGAATTTTGATTTAGCCCCCAAGATTCATGTCTGCCTGCTGTACACACCCTGTATACAGCCCGCTGCTGGGTATGGTCAAGTTATGGCAAAGGGATTTTGCAAATGTAATCAGGGTAGGAAGTCATTTCAACATGTTTTAATCAGAAAAAAATGTTTTCTAAAAGGGTCTCTGACTTAATCAGGTAGGTATCCTTAAAAACGAGGAGATTCAAAACCTAAGTGGGATTCTCCTGCTGGTCTCCAAAACACAAACTGGCCACAAATTAGGAAACTGAGCTCTAGAAGCTGAGAGCAGGCCCTGGGCAACACCTTGTGAGAACAATGGAAACCTCAGTCCTACAACCGCGAGGAACTAAATTCTGCCAAAAGCCATGTGATCTTGGAAAATGACCCTGAGCTCAAAAACACAGCTTGGCCAAATCTTCAGTTTCAGCCTTTGGAAACCCCGTGCAGAAGATCTAGCCATGCTGTGACAGGACCTTTGATCTAGAGAATTGTGAGATAATAAATCCCTCTTGTTTTAAACCGCCAAGTTTGTACCAGGAAATTACAAATGGAAATTTGTTATACAATATATGTTATACATGCCCAGATGAAATCTGGAAATCTAAATATTTTGATCCTTCATGTTCTTTAAATCAGTCAGTAACCACACACATGCCCCCTAAACAATTAATATTAATTAATGAATTAATTAAACAGAAAAGAAAGCCCTATTGATATTCCATGTCTCTGCTCCAAAATGTTAGCTCTTGATATATTTTATCAGTTGACTCCTGTATATAAATAGTGCGGGCAACTAAATCTAAATAAGCAAGTTGGGATGGAGCAAAAAAAACTGATATTAAAAATGACAATTATTGAAAAATCTTAAAAGCACTACCTGAATATTTGCCTTGGAATCAATCATGTCAAATATGAAGACATAGACAGAGAAAAACTTAAATTGCAGTGTCAATCTTCCTGCCTATTTCATTTCACTGTACTGAGATGTAGCCTCACCGTATCTAGCAGGCTTGCCAAGTTCTGTGCTTCTTCTTGGACATAAAGCATGACTACTACAATTAGTCACCCTAGAAGATTCAAATTCTGCTTCTATTATTTTTGCTACTAAATAGTTGTTTGCAGGAAGAAAGAAAAAATGATGGTGAAATATATTGTCTTGCCACCTCTATAAATTTTTTTCTTTCTTTTTAGATATAAACCCAGTAACTTCCGTGCCAATGATTTCACCCGTTCTCTGCTTAATAAAGCACAGCTAAAGGTAAAATTATTTGTTTTTCTCTTTCAAATACAACCAGAAAAATATATTAAAATGTTATCGCTAAATAATTTCCCCTAAGGCAATGTGAAATAGACCTTTTCCTGCCATTTGATGCCATTAATAGACTGGCAAAAGCCACAGCATTGAATACAAGATATAACACACACTGCACCAATGCCCAGTTCCATTTGAAGGTCACCAACAGGAACTCTTGACAATAATAACTCAAATCAAAATGTGTTGCCATGAAATTCCTCTTCAAAATTTTTAAAATTTCTGCCAGATTCCCCTTCATCCGCCCTTTACTTTTCTCTTACACGTTACAGACATTAAGTACTCTGCTGGCCAATGTGGTTTGAATTAATTGGCCTCGTGCCTGTCAGCAAATATTTGGTCTTAGCTATTGTAATTATGGAAACCGGTATAAAAACTCAGTCTGGATTCTAACTTAGAAAGTTATTTCTACAACTTTTGATCGATGGATTATTACATTGATGATTAGACTAGGTGAGATAGGGAGTGGACAGAGGTTTCCTAATTACCTTGTTGCAGAAAAGCATTAGAAACCACATAACGGTCACATAGAAAGGCCATTAATATTCCCAAAGTGAATTCTATGAAAGCATGTCATACTTGTTCAATCTGAAAAGTGAAGGAACGATTCATAGCGGTTGAATGTCAAAATATATAACAGCTTCCCCATAAGGCACTTTGGTGTGGGAAAGTCCTGCCCATATTCATCACGTACTCATATACTGTAAAATAAATGCTTTCCTGATTCAAAATGGGTGACAGCCCTGCTACAATTTTGGCAGAAATAATTTTCTCCTATCTTTTATGAACAACTTCTGCATTATGTCAGTTCTCTTAATGAGTAGTGCAAAACGTCAAACTCTGAAAGGAAAAGAAACACATTTATATATTGTTAGCTTAGCAATGAATTCAGACTCACAAGGCAAAAATATTATAACTTAAATTTAACTTACAATGGCCAAACTAGATCTTCAGAAAAGGAATGGAAATGTCTGATTGCATATTCACACGAGCAATCAGCTAGCCAGAGTAAAAAAGACATTTCCTAATGTCCAAAGGCATGCTGTCTGTTTCCTGGGATGTGTTCCATGCCTTAGGTCACAATAATCATGTTGCCGGCCCTGTCCCTGACCTCCTACTGCATATTACCTTTCCTGTTAGTATTTAAGTCTAAAACACACCTGCCTAAGTGCCTAAAACTTACGCTAAATGCCTGCACAATACAGCTAAATGGGCTGAACGCAACCCAACGTAGAACCTTCCAAACATGTGTTTGAAATGCACTCATAGAAGTATTTTTATGCAAAAATGACAGAAAATGCAATAGAAAAGAAGCCCTCTTACAAAGCCATAGCCAGATGGTGTCCTTTATCGGGGGCCAGCTCATATTTCAGAGCTTTTGAAAATGTCACAGCTTATTGCTGCTGATCTAGATTTGCATCCTAAATTTGGGAAAACCCTTATCATGTGAATGTTATGATATTTGTCTAATTATCTAACATTTGGAAAATGCCTTTAATTTTTCGAAAAAAAATTTATAAATTGTTGTACAGAAAATGTATGTTTATCATGGAAAAATAGGAAGCAATGTGAGAAAAATGTAAAAGTAAAATATTACTGATCATGCTATTGTGTATATTTTGCTTTGTTTCATTTTATGCATTTAGATAAGTTTGTTAGAGAGCTTATAAAAATGAAGTTGAACTAGAGAGAATTTTTTAAAACTTTCTCATGAAACTGGAAGTTACATGTGACCATTTTTCCCATATCAAAAAATACATATATTTAAATTAACATTTTAAATAGTTGGGTACTATTCCACTTTAAGATTATCGTGTAATTTATTTACCAGGACAAAACTCTAAGCTGCTTTTTGTTATGTTTTAGATTTCTAACAATCCTACAATAAATATTCTTATACAAATAACTTTTTTCTCTTGTTAAAATGTTTGCTTCGAGTAAATGCTTAGTAAGTCCACGGAGCCAAAGTGTATTTGTAAGTCTAATAGCACATATTACCATCACCAGTAAATGTTGCATTCATTAAAAGATCCAAAGAGATTGTAAGAGCTCTTATTGACACAAAGCCTCAGAAACACTAGGCCAGTGGTCGGCAAACTGCGGCTCGCGAGCCACATGCGGCTCTTTGGCCCCTTGAGTGTGGCTCTTTCACAAAATACCAAGTGCGGGCGCGCACGTACAGTGCGATTGAAACTTCATGGCCCATGCGCAGAAGTCGGTATTTTGTGGAAGAGCCACACTCAAGGGGCCAAAGAGCCGCATGAGGCTCGCGAGCCGCAGTTTGCCGACCACTGCCTAGACCTAGACCATCTCATCGGGGCATGTTAAAAAACAAACAGACCCCAAATTGTAGGTACTTATGCTAAGCCACCAAATGAAGATCTAACTTAATTACATTTTGGCGCTCCCAGAAATGGAGTCTTAGACCAAGAATCTTAAAACCTGCTCAGCATTACTTAGACATCCACCTGATAGACCTCTGTCATCCCCTAGAGCAGGGCTGGGAGACCTTTTCCTGCCAAGGGCCATTTGGATATTTATAACATCCTTCAAGGGCCATACAACATTATCAACTTAAAAATTAGGCTGCTGTATTTCGCCAAACATTTAATTAACTCACGGGCCTTATACAGCCATCGGGCCGGACATTCCCCACCCTTGCCGTCGCAATGACCAATTCACTTTTTCACTAGTATCACTTCCTTGTTCCTGTTCCCTGTGCATATAAAGCTTTCATTTTGTACAGAGGCTCTGAGTTTCTTTCTGTTTTCTAGGCTGGATGCCGCCTATTTCATGAATCTTTAAATAAAGCCAAGAAGATCTTTAAAACTTACTCAGCTGAATTTTGTTTTTAACAGGCAAAGAGTGGTAACTGTCATTTTTAACTTTTTGTTTAGTAATGTGACTAAATATTTTCACATATTTGACTAAATATTATGTATGTATTGACTGTTCATATCACTTTGTATTTCTCTATTAGAGTATTTGTCTTTTACCTGTTGATTTATAGGTATTTTTATTATTACTTCTCTGCTTTACATTTTTTAATTTTTATTTATTTATTTATTTTTGCTGTTCTTAACCGTCACCCGAGGATATTTTCTCCATTGATTTTTTTAGAGAGAGTGGAAGGGAGGGGGGCAGGGGGGAGAGGAAGAGAGAGACAAACATGGATGTGAAAATGACACATCATTTGTTTACCTCCTGCAGGCACCGCAACCGGGGCCAGGGATCAAACCTGTAACCCAGGGTATGTGCCCTTTACTGGGAATTAGTTGTTTTTTTCTTAATTTTATATATAATAATTTTGGTTGTGTTTTATATATTATTTATATACCCTTTCTTTTATGGTTTCTTTTTGTTCTATTTGTAACTTTAAATCTTTTCACAAGCCAAGTTTATAAAATTATAAACTATATTTTCTTCTCGGATTCATTTTTTTAAATCAGTTATTCCAACACCTTTCTTTCTTCAGTGATTTAAGATGTACTCTCTATTATATACCAAATACCTATATTTACTTGGATGATTTTCCAACATAATATTTGGAAGCATATTTAACTAAGTGTGTTCATGTCAACCAAAATGATCAGCTCCATAATTCAACATTTGTTGGTGAGCTGAGGTGGAGATTTTGCTTTGGGTGACATAAATATGTTAATATCTTTCCGTCGTTTAAAAATGTCAGCACATATACTAAAACTGGAACGATTCAGAGAAGATCAATATGGCCCCTAGGTAAGGATGGCATGCAAATTTGCACAGCGTTCCATATATTTTCTGTAATACAGTCAACAATTAAATTAATTAATTAATTAATCAATTAAAAATTTAAATAGAATGTCTTTGCATTTATATCCTTGGCAATCCAAATAACAGCCAGACTATGATATTGTGTATCTAGTCAATTAAGCAAAATCTAGAGTTGTCTAAGGTTTAAGATCAAAAAAATATATCAAATTCACTTTGCTCATTTAATCTCCCAACAATTTTTCTAACCCCTGGGAATGAAAAACAAAAATCAAAAATTAAACTAAACAAACAAACAAATGAAAAACAAAATTTAAAAGCAATATACTCTGTCCTTTTGAGGTTTACTTTCTAAACATAAGTGGGTATAAATGTGTTTTTGGCAGGAGGGTATGGAGAATGGAAAACAAAATATATAGGTAATAGAATATGTGACTATGAAGACAAAGAAAGCAGAATAGCAATTTGACATGTGTGTTGGCAGGCTGTAGAGGGTGGGAAGTGCTACATTCAATACACTGGCCAGGGATCCCATGGAAAATATCCAAAATGAGGTGAAGGGACCACCCTATAGCTGTTTGTGAGAGAATTTTGCAGGCAAAGGTAAGAGCAGATGCAAAGACTCTGGCCCCTAAAATGTCTGCGGTAGCTAAGCAAGGGGGAAAGCATTAGGGAATGAGGCTCAAGGGTTTGGTGTGTGTAGAAATTGCACCAATAGGGAAGGCTATAGGCCATGGGGAAGTTTTCACTTTAACACAGACCATCACTTAAGCATCATCTATAAATATGCCTACTAATTTTGACCAATTTACATTAAGTTTTTTTCAACACTAAAAATTAAGTAATTCTGTCACTGTTAAAGAACCATCTGCAAATGTTATTCAGTAAAAATAAAAATTTTACTGATGATAAATAACGTACATCCAAATGGTGAGCATTATTTACAGTTGTGTTTTCAGCAGCTATAAGTAACGAGGCCATAAATAACTCTTTTTTTCTTCCAACACAGACTGTAAATTCTTAGCCCTATCTCGAGTTTGACTTACACTTCCAAAGCTTGTTTCTTTCCAGACATATAATTTCTATTGCCTCCAATACATACGATTTTATAAAGCCACCATCTGTAATAAAACTGCCATAAGGGTGATTTTTTAACCTAATTCATAGTACCATATCATAGCTACATCATTTATTTTATATGTATTTGTATTCAAAAATTAAGCCTGTGGAAATTTTAGTCCATATTTCAGTCAACTAAATTTTTCATCATGAAGATTTCCACACGTCTATGGCCTATGATAATTCTTATATTTCATATTAAAAATATATTTCATATACATATGAAATGGCACTTTTCACTTTATTTGTTCAACAGACATTTTGTTACTACTATAAACATGTAGGAAAATTCTTTACTGCCACTAAGAAATAATATTTTATTTTTCTTGAAATAAATTATACTTTCTTTCTTATGCCCACTTTGAAACATATACAAGCAAAGACTCTCTCCAGTTTAAGAAAAAGGGGGGCCTGGTATGACGTTACATCATAGACATAGAAAGTAAGACTTGAGCTTAGGGTCAGAAGGACAGAGCGGAGCACATGACAGAGACACTCTGGAACACGAGCATCATATCTGAGAGTGGAGGCTGCTACGACTCACCAATTACTTGCATTCAGGAATGCATGTTCATTTTTCCAATCTTCCAATTTGCCAAAAATGCCAGAAATCTGTAATTTTAAATGAAATGTACCAATTAAAAATATCTGAATGAATTCTTTTCAGAACATTATATAGGTTTGACAAACTATACAAGCTATGTTCAGCTTCTTAGCAATCACTTTATGATGTTCACCTCGAAATAATATCCATTTGATAAGATTTACAGGATGAGAAATTAAAGAGAAGACAAGAAAGGCAGTGTTCAAAAATAAAACCCAGATGACAATTTCCTAAGTGAAGAAAGGTACAACTATAAAAAGCCCTGAATTTTAGGAACAAAATGAAAATAATAATAAAAACAAAACCTACACCCAAACACTGAACAAATATGAAGAAAAAGAATAATAAAAACCTCCCAGTGGATTGAGCTCTCAACCTGGGCAAGTACCCTTGACTGGAATCTAACCCGGGACCCTTCAGTCCACAGGCCAATGCTCTATTCACTGAGCCAAACCAGCTATGGGGAGAAAGAAGCTTTTAATCTAGAATTCTATACCGAGCAAAAGCATTCTTTTCAAAAAAGAGGCCTCAGGAATGTTACCCCAGATTTATTCATTCTAATGGCAAAGTCTCAACATCACTAAGCACCAGGGAAATGCAAATCAAAACTACAGTGAGATAACATCTCACACTCTTCAGAATGGCCAGTATCAGAAGAAAAAGAAAAACAAACAACGTGTTGGTGAGCATGTGGAGAAAAGAGGACCCTTGTGCAGTGTTGGTGGGAATTTTAATTTACATATGGAGGTTTCTCAAAGAATTAAAAATAGAACTACCTTATGATCCAGCAGTCCCACCTCTGAGTATATATACAATAGAAATTTAAATAGGGTCTCAGAAAGATACCTATAATCTTATGTTTATGAAGCATTATTCACAATAAACTAAGATATGGAAACTGCCTAAGTGTTCATTAATGGATGACTAGATAAAAATGTAGTGGAATGGAATGGAATGGAATGGAATGGAATGGAATGGAATGGAATGGAATGGAAAATTTAGCCATGAGAAAGAAGGAAATCCTGCCTTTTGTGAAAACATGGATGGACTTCGAGGACTTTATGTTAAGTAAAATAAGAAAGACAGAGAAAGACAAATGCTGCATGGAATCTCTCATATATGGAACCTGAAAAAAAAAGTCTATCTAGTAGAAAAAAAGTATAAAAGTGGTTGCCATGGGCTAGAGGGGAAAAGGAAGGGAAAAGAGAAAGAAGTTGATAAAAGTATTCAGAATTTCAGATATAAGATCAATATGATCTGAGGATCTAATATAAAGCACTGTGACTATAGTTGATGGCACTATCGGGTAACTGAAATTTACTACAAGACAGGATTTAAATGTTCTTACAAACAAAAATAGATGAATATGTGAGGTGATAGATTTGTTAACTAACTAGATAATGGAACTCTTTATAATGTATACATTTATAAAATAATATTGTACAATTTATCTTACTGTTTTATTGTCAATTGTGCCTCAATAAGGCTGATTTTTTTTCAAAAAATGAAATATGAGAAGCAGCATTTTCATTTTAAGGAGAATCCTTGTCTGAATAGAAACCTCAATTTACTTTCTAGTGATCAAGTTTCTTAGAAACAACTTTTTTAAAAAAATATATTTTATTGTTTTTTTTTATAGAGAGGAAGGGAGAGGGATAGAGAGTTAGAAACATGGATGAGAGAGAAACATCGATCAGCTGCCTCCTACACACTCCCTACCAGGGATGTGCCCACAACCAAGGTACATGCCCTTGACTGGAGTCGAACCTGGGACCCTTCAGTCCGCAGGCTGACACTCTATCCACTGAGCCAAACCGGTTAGGGCTAGAAACAACTTTTAAATAATGGCCTTATCAAGAATTGCACTAGCGAAATGACAATGAAGAAAAGAGAAATTCTTATTTTAATACTTGTCTCTGGACCTTTAAAGAGGTGCTAGTTTTGCCGGAACCAAGTGAGCTGGAAGGCCAGATAATGGTACACACACATCTGCTATCTGTGTTTCCACAGGTCTCAACCTCATTGCTAAGCTTGTATGAACAGTAAAGGTAGTGGAGCAGAATAGTTAGAGAGACATGCTTCTGCCTATAAAACTAGTGTACTGCTCAGAAGTATCCCTTCCATAACTAAAGGCACTCAGCTTGGCCACTTCTTTCAAACTAAGGCTAACCTCATTCCACAAGCATTCACGGTTGCTCCCAAGCTATATCTCCATTTTTGTTCTACTATTTTTCAAACATTGCTTCAATTATCCTGCATGTCAAAAAGATTAGTCTTCTCAGCATACTAGAACATGTCTGATAACTTCCCATGGGGCTATCTTTGCTTTTAAACATAACTTGAGCTGAAAAGCCTTCTCTAAAATATGAGATATGACCTCATCTTCAAGACACAGCTCAAAGGCTATCACCTCATTGAAACCTAGTGTGCGAGTGCACTTACAAGACTCATGTCTTTAATGGATCTCTCAGCATATTGGGAGCATTTAAATGACATTCACTTTAGGAATGTCTCTCTCTCTCTCTCTCTCTCTCTCTCTCTCTCTCTCTCTCTCTCTCTCTCTCTCTCACACACACACACACACACACACACACACACACACCACTCCCCAGAGCACTTTCCCCAAAGTCCTTGCTCATCCCCTTCTTAAATGTGAGTTTATCCCAATAGTTACAAAGTCCCCTGCAAGGTTTCTAACATAGAAACATCATTATTTTACTATATTCAATGAGACAAATATGTACAAAATAAATACATGTACGTGGGCTACATAGAGCTTAGTGATATTCCACATTCATTAATTCATTTATTTAACAAAACTTAACGAACACCTACTATATGTCAAACACTTTTCTAGGCTCTAGGGATATAGGAATAAACAAGGTTAGTGGATACAGACAATAAACCTATATATAACAGATTTTTAGGTGATGGTAAGTGCTACGAAGACTAACTGTTTGGGTAAAACGGTCATTGCTCTCCTTTCCAAAGAGAAGACAAATGCACAATGATCTGATTTCTTCAGGCTGGTTACCTCTGTCAAGTCTGTTTCAAATAAGTTATCTTTTGGTGTAGTACCAGTATTGGAAACATTTTATACTTAAATGTTCTAGTCAATATCAGGCTTAGTATTCAATTACTTTTTTTTAGAATTTTTAAAAATTAAATGTATTAGGGTGACAATGTTTAATAAAAGAATATGGGTTTCAAGTGTACAATTCTATTCAATGAGCTATTTAATTCGTGTGAAAGAAAAGAACTCCATAAAATCTAGAGGCTTCAGCACTTTCAAACCAGATGCCTAGT